TTACGAAGTAGATAGGTCTCTGCACCCCCTCATGCTCCGTTACCAAAGCCCTACTAACTGCCCCTTCCGAGACAGATAAATAGAGGTTCAACATTTCACCCGCCATCAGAACAGATAAGGTTGGGGGGACCTCAGGTACTCCTTAATCCCCTCGAGTTCTCGGTCACATTCCTCATTCCAAGTTTCTTTTGTCGCCCCTTTGAGCATGGCGAAGAATGGTTTACACCTATCCGAGGATTTGGAGATGAATCGGTTAAGGGCCGTTAGTACTTTGGTTAATTTTTGAACGTCTTTAGTAGTCTTCGGCACTTGGATACTCTGCACGGCCTGTGCTTGCTCGGGGTTGGCCTCTATGCCCTATGGGTGACCAAGTACCCCAAAAATTTGCCTGAGTTTACCCCAAAGGCACACTTTGAGGCATTGAGCTTCAGGCTGTATTTTCGGAGCATAGTGAAGGTGGTCCCTAGATCCCAGAGATGGTCGGAGCTCTTTTTGCTCTTAACTAGCATGTCATCAATATACACTTCCATCATGACGTCGAGTTGCTGCTTACACATCTTGTTCATCAAACGTTGATAAGTGGTACCGCATTCTTCAACTCGAACGGCATCACCGTGTAACAATATATCCCTCGAGGTGTGATGAATGCCGTCTTTTCTTGTTCTGATTCCTGCAAGAGAATTTGATGGTAGCCTACTTGGGCGTCCATGAAGGAGATACGTTCACGACCCGCAATTGCATCAACAAGCTGATTAACCTTTGGCAACGAATACTCGTCTTTGGGATATGCTTTATTCAAATTTGTGAAATGTACGTAAACTTGCCATTTTTCACCCTTCTTTCTTGCGCATACCGTGTTTGACAACCACTCGGGGAACTGAACTTCCTTGATGGACCTTGCCTTGAGTAACTTGTCCACCTCTTCATCCACTGCCTGTGCATGATGGGGTGCCGTCCTCTGAGCTTTCTGCTTTACGAGTTTGAAGGATGGATCCATATGAAGTCGATGGCATATTATCTCAGGACTTATTACTGTCATTTTGGCTTGGGTCCACGCAAAGACATCTGCGTTCTGGCAAAAGAAGCTTATCATGTCAAACTTCTTGGTGCCGCTTAGTGAAGCCACTATTAAAAAGAATCTCTCCTCGTCCTCGGGATTCAGAAGGATCCTGAGCAGAGCCTCCATGGATCGATCGGCCGGATCAGTAATTGGGTCATCCACACCAGACTGATCGAACTGTGATTGCTATTTAGCCAATACCGCCTCTGGGTCATGATCATGGGCTTGGGTGTTAGCCTCGGTCTTCATTGCGGCATAAAAATTGCTTTTTGATGACGCTTGATTGCCACGAATCTCTATGACACCCCTCGGAGTGGGAAGCTTAATCTTCTGATGATAGGATGAATGCATCGCCTTCATTGCGTGTAACGATGTCCTGCCCAGGATGGCATTGTATGGAGAACTGAAGTCTATCACTACGAATTTTACTTGGACGGCAATGACCCCAAGAGTAACCATGAAAGTGATCTTCTCGAGGGGGAGAGCATAGAAACTGTTGAAACCCACAAGGGGGCCCCTCACTGGTTTTAAGTCCTTTTGGGTGAACCCAATTTTGCGAAAGAGACTGTCGTACATCACCTCGGACGAGCTACTCGAGTCTACCAGGATCCTCTTGACATCAAACTTGTCGATCCAAAGGGTGATTACCAAAGAGTCTTTATGTGGGGGTACTATCCCACCCAAGTTGGCATCGAAAAAGTGGATAGTCTCGATGTCGAGCCGAGGTTTCTTAGATGACTGCCCCCATACTTGTTTTCGTCCACCTTCATTGCTTGCGAGACTCTCCAGAGGTCGGCCTGTAGTGAATTATACGTTGGTCTATCAACTGTGCAAGCGTGTATTACTTCAATCACATTCGCCGCTTCTAGGACACGTCAGCCCTTTCTGCCGCCGAGCCTCTTGAGGCTTGTTTGTATACCTTACAATCTTCAGTCAAATGTCCCACATCCCAATGATAAGAACACTGAGATGTAGAATCCCTCGAAGATGGGTCTCCTTGTATCTTTGAGGGCCACTTAAAGAAAGACTCCCTCTTTATCTTGTGCAGTATCTTGTAAATGAGTTCTTTGAAAACCGTGTTTACCCCTTGAAAAGACAGGCAACTCGGAGCCGGGGGTGGTGCCCCTCTCTTTGCAGGCGGTTCCCCGTCCCTTTTCCTCGGCACTAGGGCCCTGTTTTCGGGCACAATCGACTCTTACTCCATCCTAGCGTACTTGCTTATCTGAGCCATCAAGTCCTTCATTTCTACCGGAGCCCACTTAGTAAGAGATCAATACAGATTGGTGTCTTGGGACAATCCTAGCCGAAATGTCGTTGCCGCCATGGCCTCCGAGTATGCGTCAATCTTATTAACCTTCTCCCAGTACCTGATTGCGTACTATCGAAGGGTATTCCCACTTCTCCGTTTGAGTCAATAATGCGCCGATGTCTTTCGACCTTTTGTTGTTGGTGATAAATCGAGCCACAAAGAGCTCGGTCATCTGCTTCCAAGATTTGATACTTTTAGGGGCCAAGCTTTCATACTATTTCATTGCAGTGTCTCCTAAGCTCAGGGAAAAAACTCGGCACAGTAGCCTTTGATCGGTGTCGTAAATGGACATCAGTTACTTGTTCTGTCACAGATAGCTCTCGAGATTTGTTCTCCCATCGTAAACCTTGAATCAAGGGGCAGTGAACTTTTTCGACATCTCGATCTCCTAGATCGCCCGAACAACTGGGGAGATGATTTGCTCATCTGCCGCATCTTCACCCTCCTTGTGGTACAATCTTCGACGCTTGGCGTCCAAGTGTGTTTGGAGGTCCTCCCAGGGCTTTATTTTCTTAGGTTCTCTGGTAGTAGAGTCCGTGTGGGACTCTGTCATCGCGGCACCCCCCGATAGCCTGTGGTGGAAATCCCCACGAGAAAGGTCTGTCTTGCGCCAATTCCCTTCTAATTTTTTCTCGGGAGAGGGCATTTCCTAGCTCTGGGGCTCATGCTTCTTGCCCAAGTGCCTGTGTAAGCTCTTCCATGGGCCCCCCAGCCTTTTACCCCTGGAATCGCCTCAGCTGATACTTCAGTCTTCACGTCTGTTGCTTCATCAACTGGCACTTCTCGATCGCTCGAAATCATTGAGCAGATGCTATACCTTGGCATTGTCCTTCTCAAGTCGCTTAAGACGGTTTCCCATCTATTTCTCCATCAACTCGACGATTTCGTGAGCTAGAAGGTCTTGTCCCTCAAGGCTTTGATCCACCGGCAACATTTGCTGTGAGGCATGCTGGCCTCCATTTGACTGGCTCGAGTCTAACTTAGTGACTGCTGGGAACCAACTAGCTTTCGCGTTTCTTACGTGTAGGCTGCCCCCCATCACCTTGGGATCGTGTGTTCACCATGATGCAATCGTTATGGGAAAAGTTCGTACTTCTCGCAAACAGTGTCAAATTACACGGGAGAATTCCTGCAATGAATAAAGATAACGATCAACTGAATGATGAACCTGAAACAGTCAAAAGGTTAGGAAAGGGGCCGGGTGAACACCCGGCTAATCCCCTCAAGCTTTAGTCAGTCGGCATTGGAGACCAGCACAATGTATTTTCTCGTTTTGAATTGCGTACCTTTTTTTATTTTTTTGAGGGGTATTTATACCTAGACTAACAATGAGTGCAGGAGTTTTGAGTTCCATCTCAACATTTAATGGCTCGCACTCTTATCTATGAAAATGTTTGTTCTCCCCTCAGAATCTAAGGAGACTGATTTAATTAGGTGATTGGATGCTAGCTGGGGGCACGTGGAGCATTTATGGCCCTATCCCCGGTCATTAAATACATGTGATCGATGCTTGACATATACGCCCGAGCATTTACTGCTCGGGAATAAGCACCTCGGGGTATGCCGAGAACATCGGGTCGACACAATAGCAATTAATGCTTTGTAATGATGACTGTCTTCGTTAATCTCGAGGGCACAAAGTTTCATTAATAGTCTTGTCAGTCACTCAAGTCATAATTAATGAGTTGTCATGTCCTCTTTAATGCTGGGCTCAACCAGTGTACACTCGGCTCTTCTGAGTTATAACTCCTCGGCTCCTTCTCCTAGCGCCCTTTGAGGTCCATAATGGATATAACTATCCACGTGTCAGCTCCTGGCTGCTGAGCTGCCTAAAGCCCCGTCACATAGCAAGTTGCCGAAGTTTGATATTGTAATTTGTCTATTTGCTACTATATGCTTGTAGTTTTCTCCGTAAGGGTAAGTGGCATGAAAGCGAATGACTACTCTGAAAGTTTTCTTAAGTAATATCCATGTACTCTGGAATATTTTCAGTCTGCTTAAGAATGCTCCTGAGTAAAGATAACACCATTATCAAACGCATGGAAGTTCCTGAATCATTGTAAGCGTGACATATTGGTGATTATGACTTGTTTACAGAGTTGCAAAATTCAGGGGGAAGAATCTCTTTGGATTGCACCATATGAAGCTTAAATAACTTCAGCTTCTGAGTTTCTTAAGTTCTTTCTTTGTACTTGTAAATTAGTTTCTCTGTGCTTCAAGCTTAGGAACCTTTGGGAGAAAAGAAAATTATTGTGCTATGTAGTTAATTGTAAATGTTACTTTAAAGCTGCAACATGTGGGAGTGAGACAATTTGGTATGCCAATTTACTGGTACTCTTATTTGATATTCCTGTGCTAAGCTGTAGAATTCATCGACTCTTTTTTGCTGTGAAAGTAATAGTAGAACTGAATGACAAGTGTAGGCCACTATTGGTCTCCTATTTAAGCAAACACGTGTTAAATGTTTTTCTATACTAATTTAGCTTCCCAAAAGCAGGATATTATGTTTAGTTTGTTCCTGATTGACTTGGGTTGCCCCTTTAGAATGATTGCATGCACACTTCACATAATTAGAATTTATGCTAAACCTGTGTCTCTCTGCTTCACCATTTTTACTATACTCTCCAGGAAATGTGGACATATTGTTTAGAGTTGAGCTACAAATCTTGTGCTCTTTTAGGTGGTTTCCTTCTTGGGAGAACTGTTGCTCTCCTCACAACCATGACACTGGCAACATCAATGGCTGCACGTCAAGGTCCACTAGCAATGGCTGCTCATCAAATATGCTTACAAGTCTGGTTGGCTGTCTCTCTTCTCACAGATGCACTGGCGGTATCTGCTCAGGTATGATGACCCTCACTTCTTTCGATGTTTGCGTGGTTGTCCAATTTAATTTCTTTCTGATTTGTATTTTTTGAGATGGTTTGGGCATTTTATCATAGCAACTCCAATTTTGTAGTGAAAACTGTAATGTGAAAGTCTTATGTGTAACTTCAAGAGCTGATGTGTAATTAGAAACTTAAAATCATTTCGGATTGCAACCTCCCAAAAAAAGAAAAGAAGAAGTGGCAATACAGTTTTAAAGTATGCCTACTAAGGTCTGTGGGTTCCCTTAATAAAGATTTCCAGGTTATATCAGTCTTTGTGCACTCAGATTTTAGTTTATATGGTTCCTCTCTTACTCCAGGCTTTGATGCCCCCCCCCACCCCCAAAAAAAAAAATCCCCCCTGTTGTAGTCCTTGATTGCCACTTCTATATCGCAAGGTGATTACAGAACTGTGAAGGAAGTCACTAATTTTGTGCTAAAGGTATGCCATACTTCTATGCTCTTGATTACGTTCTGAGATACTGCTGTATTCTTTATTCTCATGTTCAATTTTTTGTTGTGATCTTATGCATTATCTTTTTCCAGATAGGATTAGTCACAGGGGTTGCATTGGCTTTGGTTTTGGGCATATCTTTTGGTACGTTAGCCACCTTGTTTACCAGTGATGCAGATGTATTAGGAATCGTTAGAACTGGGGTGTTGGTACGTATTATCATAAATGTGTGGTTTCATCTTTGCTTTTTTATTTTTATTTTTTCTTTGGGTTCCAGTCGAACATCTTTATTATTGTGATGTTATGTAATATGATTACAGTTTGTTGGGGCCAGTCAACCTTTGAATTCTTTAGCTTTTATTTTCGATGGCCTCCATTATGGTGCTTCAGATTTCGCATTTGCTGCTCGTTCTATGGTAAGCCGAATAACTGTTTGGACACATCATTAATTGGGTTGCGTTGCATATGGGTTTCTATTAATATTATTGAGGTGAACTCTAGATGCTTGTGGGGACAATATCTTCCATGTTTCTGCTGTATGCCTCATCAGTTTTTGGTCTTCCCGGTGTTTGGTGTGGCTTGACTCTCTTTATGGGGTTGCGAACGGTGGCAGGATACATCAGGTAAACTGGATAACATTATGGCAATTTTTTTTTTCAATTTGAAGAAATTTCTGCCAGCCATTTTCAAAGGTTTTCTTATCGTACAACCTCAACTTCCTAGTCGGCTTCAAGTTTTGATATAAGATTGCAGATAGGAAAGGTGTTATATTGCTATTGGCTTTTAAAATAGTCTGAGGTTACTGTTTGATATATGCTTAGGAAAACTGGATAACAGTATGACAAGTTTCCATTTTTATGTAAGAAATTTCTGCCAGCCTAGTCTCAGAAAAAACCTCACTGACTTCAAGTGTTGATAATGTTTGGAGATGAGAAAGGTTGTATATTCGTAAAGGTTTTTGATTGAATTGCTTCTTTGTGAAATTATATGAAAGAAATACGAGGCGACAGTTTCGATATATGCTTAGGGTTCAAAATTTTCTGTATCAAATTTTAATTATTAAGGGCTTGTTTTGTTGGCATGCTCGATAAAGTTTTCAGATGCACAACAATCCAAAAAGGGAGAGTTGGGGAAATTTTGAATTTTGTTCTAGTTCTTGATTCTGAAATTCTAGTGCGTCTGTGATATTATGGCGCCTTGCTCCATTTCTTGTGTCTTATACCTAACTGTAGTTTATGTTTCTTTTTTAGATTAATGTCAAAGAGTGGCCCATGGTGGTTCCTGCATAAGGATCTGAAGAGAATTGAGGTTAGTGGGTTTTTGTTGTTTAGTTATAATCAGAATATGACAATACTTAAAGCTCAAGTGCCCGCCCATATTGGATGGTCAAGCTTAATTGCCTTTCAATAGTGAAATAGTCAGATATCTGAATTGCTGGAACTATCACATGTTTTCTCGTTATTGAACTTATCCTGTTTGATATTTTTTGATGGCTTGATCTAGGAGGTCTCCACGGGTGACCTACATTTTTCTTTATAGCTTATCCTTCATCATCTTTACTGTCTTCCTTTGCTCTTGAATCAACACTTCATAACTTCCAAAAACAGCTTGCTTGATTATCTGAAGGTTTTTGTTTTTTGTGTGTGTGTGTGCAGGCACTGATTTGTTAACCAGAATGGATGATTTAGGAGACAGTAAGTGAAGAGCCTCTCGAATGGGAGGGAATCCCATGGAGCCATGGGGGTGGAAATCCAGCGCTTCTGTGATTTCTGGAAGGCACAACATAATGAGAAATGAATATGGCAAATACTTCTGCAATAAACAATCCAACAAACATCATCTCTCATTGGATCTTACGGTACCAAGAAGGAAGAAGCTTTTGTGGTTATGAGCTGTTCAGTGAAATTTCTTGTACAGAGAGAAAGCATTGCTTGGGAACCACAAGTCCTACGAAAGGACAAAAAAAAAATGGAAGAAGAAAATTCAGGAGCAAAACCTGAACTGAACGGCGTGTAGTTGCATAGTACTTGTCAGTGATGGAAGAATTAATTTACTTTGTAATTTACATTCATGAACAGAGCAATTTAATCAAGACAGTAGCTCAAATATTGGGGAGCTTGTTGCCTCTTTGAGGTTACTCATGTCATGTGCATAGGGTCCATACCATTAGGAGAGAAATTTCTTGTTTCTGGCATCCCTTCAATGATTTTTAGATCGTTTCCGTATTGAGAAAAGTTCGTTCAAAGCTCGAAACAACATTTTTCGCCAGAATTCTTATGGTACACTGACACGGCAGTTAGATTTCTGAACTTCTCCTTAAATAAGGGGGTAGTTGGAGAAGAAATACCGATAACAATCAATCAAGGAATGCATGATTTCGGGAGGAGGGGTGTTTAGGTGCAATAACAGCATCAACAACCTCTTGTGTGGTGCTGTCTCCACCAAGATCTTGTGTCATGTACTTGCCTTCCGAGATCACACGCTTCACTGCAGTTTCCAGCCGATCAGCAAATTAAGGAAACTGGAGATGTCTCAACATCATGGCTGATGAGAGAAGCAAAGCCACTGGATTTGCCTTCTTTTGCTCAGTAACTTTTCATTTCCCACATTTCCTGCAGAAGCGCCTTGCTCAAAAACAGCATGATCAGCCCCCACATTGCCTGAAGTCAAGCAAAACCTATTAAGGCACTTGCATGTAATTAAAGCATCCACCCTCCTGCTTAAACTAATCAATGTTCAGGAAGAATTATCTTTTCTTGAGCAAAGAACTACTGGTGACTTGGTGAGTGTAACATATCATTCATCATAAGATTTGAAAAGGCCACAATCAAGTACAGATTAGTAGAGTTGAGTAGAAAGGGAATTTCTTAGTTATTGATAGATACCTCCTGGCATGACACCAGTGCCTCCAGCAATACCAGCTGCTTATCAACCTCCTGTAAAAAGGTTGGGGTGACAAAAGAGATCCGATCATAGTCATGCATATATTAAGTTCAACCCCATAAAACAAGACACTACTAGATGTAAGGGGCCTCCAAGTCAAAGGTTCAAGTAAGTGATACAGCATGTACATCAGCCTAGGTATGTAGCCTTGTACAACCTTCCCGTTTCATACATATTCTACTCTTCCTCAGGAATTTCTTGTTCTTGACTAAACATACAGAAGATAGATATGAACTTATTACCTTGCACAAAATTAGATAGAATCTGGATCTCTTCCCTTAATTGCATGTTGAATCTACTTCATTATCACTGAGGTGATTAAAGGCAAAAGTTACAGGTCTTAACTTGCTGAAAAGCATTAGACCTTGGTTGACTTGCAGTTAAATGCGCTACATTCTTATCACCTGTTTTTCAAATTTAATCCTACTATTATGTTGCTGTGTTGCCATGTTGCTATTTGACCTCCATTTGTATGGGAAGACACTGAATATCAGACACCGAAGAGATTGTAATGTCAGTTACAGATACGTCCTCTTAATGCATGTAGTGGGCATGCGGACTGCATGCTAGTATCAAGGATCATGACAGACAAGGAAGGCAACCAACCGGTGTCTGCTTTCAAATGCTATATGTAATAGAAATTAGTAGTAGTTTATTTGTATTCTTTTCTTTTCCCTTTGAATTGTGTAAATAGAATTTTGCATAGTTGAATGGCTTCCTTGATATGCTGCAGATATTTGACCTACTCAAGTACTTACTATTATTAACTCGAATTTCTTTCATCGTTGATGAACAGTTTCTGATAATGATGCTCAAAAGATCAGCTTGCAAGGTTGGAGTTGGACCTACCTAATTATTTCCGTCCACTTATGCATTGCTTGGTACAATGAAAAAAATGGAAGAATAGAAAGGGGAAGGATGGAAAGTTGGAGGGATAGATAAAACATTATGTTTAGTAAAGAAAGAAAATAAGAAGAATAAAAAATGGATTGATGAACTTTATTTTTAACTCACTAAAATCAATCCCTCCAAAAATGAAAGGAAAGTGGATGAAAAGTTAATTATTTGTGTTAAAATGTATCTTATTTGTCTAATATGAGTAACTCGTGCTTGAAAATACGGTATAATATAAATAGTTTTGAGAAGGATATTGATGGCTGTTGGATAACCCTATTTGAAATCGTCGAATGAATTTATTGAAACTTACCTTATTTTATATTATAGATTACTTTTCCAAACATACCAGTCCAAGGAAGAGCGGCCCATTTGAAAATATCTTTCATCACATAAAATGAAGTTAATTTCATCTGTAATTAAGTCGTTAAAATTGCATTTTTTTTTTTACTAATCTCACTTTCAACATTTTCTGATCCAAGGCCTTCTCACTCAACACCTGTGTTCACATTTTTTACATGCAATTCATTATCACTCATATCATAAGCACTATCATCCAAGTCCAAATAATCTGGATCAATTTGACCATCCTCATCAGTGTTAATCTTAGTGTCTCCCTCACCATATATAAGTTAAGGGTAAGAGTCAATGATATAACAATGATTAGAGTAGTAAGTGAAGACAATGAGAGAAATAAATGAAAAATCCCCTCCTGAATTTGACTAACTGTTTGATGTTTGTGATGAATATGGACAAAAGCATTTCATGGAAACACAATCAATACTTTAAAGATTAAATTGTATAAATCGAAACTCCATGGATTAAATAGGAAAAACATCAATACTTTACTTTAATGCTTCGTTTGGTATGATAGAAAACTAGTACGATGAAAAGTTTGAAAGATAAAAAGTTTGAAAGATAAAAAGTTTGAGGGATAAATAAAATATTATATTTGATAAGAAAGAAAAATAAGAAAGATGAAAAAATTGATGGATTAACTTTTTTTTCAACTCTTCAATATCAATCGTCTATGTTTGTAGAAGCAAGAAAAATACATAATCAATTATGATAGATTAATAAAATCATTAGATGTAACTTGCAATTCTCATGTGTAACTAAAGGGTTAGAATTTAGTATCGAAAAGTCATTTTTCAATATATTATTTTTATTTTTAGCAGATTACGGAGTAATATGTATAAAATTCTATCATTTATTGTTAATCTTATTTTATTATTTTATTTAAAAAAACCCAACACAAGATTTATTAGCGTGAATTAATGAAATTAAAAAATCATATAGTGGCTTATCGTTAACTAAGCATCAATCATTTTATAGTTTAATTGTTGATCTATCATTTTGGGTATTCTCAACAACTAATAAAGAATATAAAATCATTGCAGTAGCCGATTTGGTTTGATTGAGAGCATAAACAATATAATTTGGCAACTATTCTACCAATTTTGAAATCTTCACCAACAAATTAAGATCAACCTTACATTAATTATATAATTTAATTGTTGCCCTATCAATTATATGAGAAAATAGTCATAACTCATGCCTGAAGGCACGAAGAAACACAAAAATTTGAGCGTCCAAAATATTGATCCTATTATATTAAATAATAAATTTTTTTTCTTCATTTATTTGATTACATCATTTAAAATTTATTTTTTACGCATTATTTTTGTAAAAATATCAGCAAAAATATGTAATTTATCAAATTTTTTTAATATGTATATATTATTGTATATGAATAATGTTTGAAATTAAAATTATGTTAAACTACAAATTAATCAAATATTAAATGATTAAACATACGATAGAAATGAATGATAGAATGATTTTAAAAAAAAATTATGAATGTGATAAAATTTCAAACACCTAATTATTTTATTATATAGATATACATTGTACGGTACTAATCTTATTTATTGCTAATGAATTGCAGTCGTAAAATACAACTGAGGATGTCTTAACCAATTGAAATTTGAACGTACATAAACCAAAAGAAACTTCAACCTTTGTGCACCACCTCCATCATTTCACTTTGGTATTTGTAATTGTAATTGTAATTGTAATATATTAGATTCATTGTTGTTATACGGACACAGTCATAGAAAAATGATGGATGATTTAGACCAGAATACAAATGACAATTTAATGCACAAAATTAAGTTTTTTTTTTAATTTTTTATTTTTTACTTGAATTTAGGTACGAATTTAAATTTTTGATGTTATAAAAATAAAATTATGCCATCACGTAATTAAATTAAATACTAATGCTATTAGGACATAATGAATTGTCACAAATGAAATGATAGTGAAATATATTTAATGATGAGTGTCATTGTCGCATTAATGAATTCATTATCAAATCATTTGTGACAACTCATTATATTCTCAAATTATATTCATAAATTATATCTCAATAGCATTGTTCTAAATTAAATCAATAAATTTAGTCAAGCTTGTTAATCTTAACTTTGAGAGAGAATTACACTCACATCCCTTGAGGTTTGTCACTTAATCACTCAAATCCCTTGATATTTGAAATATTACACACAAACCCATTGAAGTTTGTAAGCATGTAATACTTAGATCTCTGATGTAAATATATTTGTTAATAAATTACACTTAATCTTATTTGAAGTTTATATGTATATAATACTTAAACCCTTTTAAGTTTAAAATGTTATACTTAAATCAAAAATACTTCAATTAAAAATAAAATATCAAATATTTTAAATTTTACAATTAAAATTTATGTTCTATTGTATCATTTATTGAAATAAAATCAAAAATAAAATTCAATTTTTTTCTTAAAAATTATAATTAGTATACAAATTGTCTATTAAAATTTAATTTGGTTGTTTAAACGACCAAATTAAAATACCAAACTATCTCAATTAAAACTAAAATATATTGTGTTCATTACAGTTTGACCCTTTATTTAATTTTGCTAGTTTTATTCGAATAGATAGTATAATTATATATTAACTATAATTTTTTTTAAAAACCTAAATTTTTATTTTTGATTTTATTTCAGTAAATGACATAATAGAACATGAATTTTGGTTATAAAATTCATGTTCTATTACGAATGACTTAGATCCCTTGTTTGATTTTTTTTATTTTATTCTAATAGATAGTAAAATTGTATACTAATTACGATTTTTAAAAAAAAATTAAAATTAAAATAAAATTTTATTTTAATAAATAATAAAATAGGACATGAATTTTGATTGTAAAATTTAAAATATTTGATATTCTGTTTTTAATTAGAGTATTTTTAATCTAACTATAATATTTTAAACTTAAAAGATCTAATAATAATATATTTATAAACTTCAAAGGGGTTTAAGTATAATTTATTAATAAATATATTTATATTAGCGATTTAAGTATTATAGGTATACAAATATTAGGAGGTTTGTGTATAATATTATAAATATCAGAGTATTTAAGTGATTAAGTGACAAATCTTAAAACGTCAATATAGGTATACAAGTTACAAAAACAACTTACTTTCCGAATACGTGAGGGCGGTCTTGTGAAAGCGCACCGCCTTTCAGACTTCAGTCTTTTGAGTATTTGGTTTTGCTTACCGCTCTCTATGATCATCGTCATCGCCAATTCCCTTTAACAGCCCTAGAAGGAACAAGCCAAGTCCTTGTCATCATAAAAAACGAGAAAACGAAAGGAAGAGAAGAGGTAATCTCTCTTTCTTTCTCTACTATTTCTTATTTCATCTTGGTTTTTTTTCTTTTTTCAACTTCATTGTTCTTCTGCGTTTTTTGAGGGAATTCGAACCCTAAAATTTATCAGTTGTCTTGTTGAAAATGCATCTCTAACTCTCTTCATCAAAGACTTGGTTGTTGCCGATTTCAAGGTTACTCACGGTGGGTCTTTCTGTTTCTGTTCTTCTTTACAGTTTGTGTTTGTATTATTTTATTTGTTTTGCCCTTTTTATGTATTCACGTGTCCATACAAACACTCATACACACAGAGAGAATCGTATCAAAGAGGTGGTTGATTAAAGATGAACCACACTAACTTTTTGAATATTGTATTAACATTCTCTGTTTCCTCCTCTGGGATTGCAAATGTGTTCGCTTAATGCATATGCATCGAAATTGTTCTTGCAAAACAATATAGAATTTGATTGTCCATATTGAAGTTTTAATTTTGACATATGTATTCATTATAGGTAGTGATTTCTGTTTTTTTTTTTCTTTTTGCCAAGAAGAATTTAGACAACTTTATAATAATGGCGGTGGCACAATTTAGTGGTGGTGCGGTCTCTAATGGAATGGAAAATGGAAGTAGAGAATGTAACACCGTGAATGAAGCGACAAGGGCATTTTCTCCACAACATTCAAGGCGAATTCACAATTTTTCTAGGTTAGTTATTCAAAAGATGTTGAGCTATGCAGATGTTGTAAGGCATTGCAGTCTATCCGCAAAGCACCGACCAATGCTGGCATCACTAGTTATTCATCAGAGAAAGCACATTTTTAAAGTGTCCAATTATCAATCAAGTTCAGATTGTGGTGTGCAGTCTTCTGATGTGGATGAGACTCCTTCTACAGAAGAACATGACCTCTCAAGTTCAAGGGAAAGAATTCCGTAAGACCTAGATCCATTGCCTTGTGGTATTAGTATTATTATTTTTATACGATAAGCATTGATTTGGTTTAAGTTGCCATTTTTTTCTATTATTCTAGAGGAATTTTTAACTGCTATTATACACAGCTCCTGTTTACATGACATGTATGTATTATTATGATACTTTGATTCATGGTATTAATTTTGCACTACATTGTTTTAATAGGTAGGTAATTTTACACTAAATTTTTAGTAGCACTTTTTGGCTGCTTTACTACATTTGACCATATGATAGGTAGAGTGTTGTGAGAATAAGATGGTACTCCATGTTCTGTATCTTATGATATTGCGGAGCATTTGGATTGAGTCATATTTTAAAATTATATTCTGGATTTCTCCTAGCAGCTTACTTCGATCTTTAACATTGGATTTCATGTTATGTTACTATTTAATGCCTTTTATATAAAGATATATGATGTCTTTTGATTGGAATCTGTCCTTTCAAACAGCCATTATGATATTCTTGTTACTAGTCATACTAGTCACGGGCACATTTGATGTGTGATCACCATTTCTACCTCGTTTAGAATGAATCAATTACCAAGTCTTAACCAATTTGATTTTTGTTAATCGAAGTTATCGGGAGGGTTGAACTAGTATAGAATTAATATTTGGCATTGTAACCTTTCTTTGTCAATTATCAAAAAATTATGTATTTTTTTTTTTGGGACCTTGGGTAGTTACTTTGCAAAAAATTGAAAATTGTAGGGGTGGGATGATGTGGGAGGTAGTTTTATGAATGATAAAGAAGCCAAGTAAAGACAAAATTGCGTGGATGATCAGTTAAGAGAGAGAGCCCTCTAAAGCACGGACATTCTTACGAAGGTGACGTATCCGTGTCGGACAGTGACACTCCAAGAACAAGTGTCTGATATTCTTTTATCCTTGTCCGCAATTAAACGATAAAATTTTAATTTTGGACATGTGTCCGACACTTCTTTAAAATGTGTCTACTACTAAATAATAAATATGTTGATTTGTGATTTACAAGCCTAAAAATTTGACTATTAAATATTTTATACTATGAAAAAACATATAATTAACAAGATTAGACATGTTAAAGTTGTATTCAAAATATAATTACAAAAGCAAATGATATATAGAAGATTTAGAAAAGAACAGTTGAGATGAGAGCAATCATTTAAATTGTATATGTATAGTACACGTCTATGAAAAAAATAATAATTATTGATTATTATGATATTATTCTATATATATTTACACTAAATGACTACAGATAACATTAAATTATCATAAAATACTGATTTTTTTATGAATAATATATCATTATCACTATATTTGTGATAAATTATATTATTTTATATAGAAAACACAATTATCTGTAATGTGTCCCCAATGCTCCCGTGTCATATTTTTTTTAGAAATGTCGTGTCTACGTATCTGTGTCAGATACGTGTCCGGTGTCCTTGTCCGTGTTTCTTAGGGAGAGCCAAAGGGAGATAAATTTTTGCTGTCCTGTAATAGTACTTGATTAACGTAAGAGCCAATATGATGATAGCTGGGAGTTGCCACTACAGATATGGAGCTTGCTGCATCAATATTAGAAGCTTTAGGAAGCAAAAAAAATTGCTTTCTTTTGTTCAGACAACCTGGAATGGAAACTGGGAAGCTGCTCTTGGTAAATGATACATCTGCACAGTTGAATAAGAAAATGGTTTTAGTGGGACACTAAGGAAGTTTGGATTGTAGCGTGCTCTTATTGCTTGGGTTTCCTTAGCTGTTGTGGCTCAGGGGAACATACACGAGTGTTGCACGACAACAAACACATAGATGCATTTCACTTCAGCTTCTGGCAACTAATAACTGGGACCAGTCTTCGCTGCGAAAACACTTATGACATGCAGTTGTTTGAAGATCTCTTAGCAATCTAACATGTCCCATATGGTGATCTCACATCAAAAGTTATGAACAACTGATATATGAAATACTTAAACAGTTGATCTACGGTTAAAATTTTGGAACACTTTAAGAGCAAATTTGGCAATGCTATTCTTTATGAAAAAAGTCCCTTTCGGAGCCAAGTTTGAAGTGAAACATTACACTTTCTTTTTTCCCTTCCCCCTTCCTATGTCAGGTAACTTGTCTTTTCCTCAATTTTGTGAGTTGCAAAAGGAAATAATGTGTATTGAAATTCACTGGTTTGGTTAGACTTTAGATTTTATATTATGACCCAAAAAAAAAAATTAGACTTTACATCAATAGATCCTTTCACAATTTTCCTAATACTGTTTTCAGTGAGGCAAAAGGGATTGGTCCATCGGAGACGGCGAACGAAAGTGGAAAGGAGTTGACAGGGATATCTACTAGTCAATCACGTCATCAAGATGTCAAACGTGAACTTGTAATGCTTTCTTTGCCTGCAATTGCTGGACAGGCTGTTGACCCCTTCGCACAACTGATGGAGACAGCATATATTGGTAGATTAGGTGAGGTGCATTGTCTGATGCTTAATCCATTTAATTATTTGTTGTGGACCTGGTGGTTATGGAGATTTTTTTCGAACTTCATTACTCGTCCTGCTACCAGTATCAGCTTCTTTATGTTGTGTTCTCCAAGTCCCTCTGGTATCATTTTTTCCACACACACTCCTGCTTTTTTGTTTGAAGGACAGTGTACTGTTTTTCTTTTTGTTTTTTTCCTTTCTCTTTTTGTGTGTGTGGGTGGGTGGTTTTTTTTTTTTTTTTTGGGGGGGGGGGGGGGGTGTTTGCTTGTGCAATTTTACATATCAAAGAATTTTGATAAAAGGCTTGTGCCCATTATCTATTTTGGAGTATCTGGTCGATTTGGCTTCTTATTTTGTGTTTCTGTGCACTTAATCCAAAGCAGATGGTCGTACAATGGTAATTAGCCGCTGGCATTGTGCTTTGTTGCATTGCTGTTCAGGAATTTGATGGTGAACATCTTGGATGTGTTTTCTGTGTTAAGCTGAGCTCTTATCAACACAGGGGGGGACTGATACATGAACTTCTGATTTCAATCAAGGCCAATTTAGGAGTCACTATTTAGGATTGTAGGTTTTTATTATGGCGAAGTGTACATATTTTGTGGTTTCATACCTATGTGTTGATGGCCTTTCAAGAAAGTTTGGAATATATTTTTTTTCTTGATAAGACACGTGATTTTATTAATAGATCAAATAAGATCTTACAATATCGAGTAATAGTGATTAATATCCAAAACTCGCACGAACAGCCACACGATTTTATCCAGCAAATCTAGTTTGATATATCATTATTGCATACTTTCTGACAGGTAGAATTCTTCTCTCATATTACATGTATTGTTCATGAATTTGAGAGCATGTTACTTATCTATAGATTTATTCTGGACAACGTAAAGATCATTTGGGTGTAGCATGAAGTTTTTGCGTGCATGAACTACGTTCCTGTGATAACTAGGTTTTCTTAGATATTGACTGAAGCATTTGAAACTTGATCTATTGCATCTTCCCACTCTTCTGACTTCAAAAAATGGGGCCTAACTAGTGGATTATATCTCTGTTATTTTTGTTTTTGGGTTTCCTTTTTCTTTTCCCTCTACAGTATATGTGGATTTATTAACTTCTATTTGCATCCATAGGCCCTGTGGAGTTGGCTTCAGCTGGTGTTTCCATATCAATATTCAACATTATTTCAAAACTATTTAATATGCCTCTTGTCAGTGTGGCTACATCTTTTGTGGCTGAAGACCTGTCAAAGAATGCGGTCAGTTCTCCCACCGGAGGTCGGGTAATTAGTATTTGAAGCCTTAATTATTTTCCAAGCCTTTGAATCTGCTTTAAATTCTGGATTGCTCATTCCAAGAAGAAACACTTGGCTCAATGTTTTAGCTTTCATTTATAATTTTGTAAAATTTTCGTACCTTAGAGGGTTAGCAAGAAGGAAATACCAATGGTAAACTGCTTGACAGGGCAGGTAAAAGGCAGCAACTATCCTCCGTATCTACAGCTTTAACTTTGGCTGTTGGCATTGGCATCTTTGAGGCTGTAGCCCTGTCTTTGGGATCTGGACTGTTTCTTAATTTGATGGGCATCTCATCGGTAAGCTTGACATCTCTTGCTGTGAGCACGCTTACTCTGCCTTTTAAAATCATAATCCTCATTACATGGGCATCCTGAACATCTTTTTCACCATTCAGATTTATTTAATATCTAGAGCAGTTGCATGTGACTCAATCTTCACAAGAGTTGGTACCACCAAAGCCTTAAATTTCTAGTTGGCTGCGTACTCACAAGTCACAATGTCAATTTTTATATTTATGGCATCTTACCATACAACGGTAATTAGCAAAATATCTGGCTACTTTAGCCCTCTTATCCGACCTCAGTTCTGGCGTGTAATGCATCTATTTCACTCAATAGGATTGGCAATGCATTCGTGTCCTTGCTTTTACCCAATTCCTAGGGAAGCACTGAAAAGAATTAACAAGGAAAAAGGTTAGGTTATTATCATTAGTGATTTGGAGAATTATAAAGAAATATTGGGATAAATGCCCAGTGTGAAATCTGAAGCGATATAGGTAGCACTTTTTTCTGTATTGGTGAAGTGTAATAATACAGTTAGACAGTGACTGTGGAAGTAGTGGTCTATGTTCAGGAAATGTCATCTGTCAGTTATGCTCCAAAATTCTCTAATTGTTTCTCTTTTTCATATTTCATGAACTCAAGTTGCCTATCTTCTAGGAGTTCTTACCAAAAAGTAGAATTTTCTTAACAGGCTGACTCCATGCACGCACCAGCACAGCGGTTTCTTTCTTTGAGAGCCCTTGGTGCTCCTGCAAATGTAGTTTCGTTGGCTCTACAAGGCATTTTCCGTGGATTTAAGGATACAAAGACTCCAGCATTATGTCTAGGCAAGTTTTTGGTATAACCTTTAAAAAAAATTGATAATTATGTAGATTACACATCAGTAAAATTATGTATGTTGACACTGATCATCCGATTAAGTTGATGTTTTTTTGTTCCATATAACCCTGAGAAAATTTATCAATATCTTGTGTCATGATATTCAAACACATCAGTTTTTCTGTTTCTGAGTCCTTTAAAGTGCTCAATTGCTTTTTTGCCTACTTCAAAGACTTCATGTATTTTATTGTAAAGCTCTATGATGGATTTTGTTATCACTGAATTGATGAACGGATGAAATTACAATTGTTATTGATATTGTCATAAGCTTCTCAAGGAGGTGCCATAGCAGATTCGTTTAACAACCTTACCTTAGGTTGTGGGGTACATCTTTGCATAGAGAAATCATTTATTGGAAGCAAATGGTTTCTAAAAGGAGAGATCGCAATTCTTATGTGATATATTTGTACAACTGTACCGTTTCAAACTAGTCTCAAGACAGGGTCATGGTTTGGAGATTTACATGAGCCTTTCAAGAATTTCTCATGCTGAGTATGATCAGGGATTCAAAACTTATTATATCTATATTATGTTGTTGCTTCCTGTCAAGTCTGATACAGGTGTAGGACATCTAATTTTTTTTCCTAATTGAGTTGGAAAGGAAAACTGTTCCCCTTATTTGTTTCCATGCATGTCATTTTTACTATAAAATCGTATTCCTTAAATGGATTTTTTTTTAGGGAATCTAAACATCTCCCCATTCACTGGGTCTTCATTGAATTTAGTGGTGCACTTTGGACATCAGTCATGTGTATGTTGGTATATAGAAAATTTGTTTCTGTCTTTTTGGCGTGCAATCCAAGTTAATTTTTCACTTTAGCATTCTGCAATTGCAATATGAATAATGTCCGTGTGGGGTAATTTGATTTTAACTGTAGTTCTACTCTTGTTTGTCATTTTTTCTTGCTGTCTCCTTGGAATTAATTTTGCTAGTCTAATCCTCTGTTGTTAAGTTGTTGCTTTTCTTTCTACTAATAGATAAAGTCTTGGTCTGCAGGGATTGGTAACTTTTCGGCTATATTTTTGCTTCCCATACTTATTTATTATTTTCGGCTGGGTGTAACTGGAGCGGCCATTTCTACTGTTGTGTCTCAGTATGTGCTTTCTTCATATCCTTTCTTTACTTTTGTTTTATTTAAAATAAGTAAATAACCATGTTAGCTTTTGTACATTTCAGATATATTGTAACCTTTTTGATGATGTGGTTTCTCAATAAGAGAGTGGTGTTATTGTCTCTGAAGGTGGGAGCACTGCAATTTGGTGGCTATCTGAAGTCTGGTGAGTGGTTATTTTGAGAACTATTAGTTTTACCTCGTCTCAGCAAGCATACTTGTGAAGAATTTTACTAAACAAGGTCATTGCCAGTGTTTTGCGGACAATTCTGTGGGTGTTTGGAAGGTAGGATGAAGTATGGAACTAACATCTCCCTGTAACTGTATGAAGTGGTTATTCTAACTCTGAAACCCACATTCTAGGCTTGACAACCGAGCTTTTGGTGTTCCCTGGCCATCATGATCATATCTTTGAACTCAACAGTATAAAGAGATTATAGTAGCTTGGATCATAATTTCTGTTTATAACTGACGGACTCTGGTACTACATCCATCCAAGAGACAAAACTCAGGAATTAGTATTTCTTGCCTACTATGGCCAATCTTCTTTGCATGATTGGTTCAGGAAAGCTGCCCAAGAAGTTTGTGGGTTCCTCAATGATCTTATAAGGTGTCTCTTAAATTCTGAGGAGCAGATGCATAGTGCACGAGAGAATTCCTGCAATGAATAGAGAAAATGATCCGCTGAATGATGAACCTGAAACAGTCAAAAGGTTAGGAAAGGGGTCGGTTGAACATCTGGCTAATTCCCTCCGAAGGTTAAGTCAGTCGGCGTTGGAGACCAGCACAATGTATTTTCTCGTTCTGAATTGCGTACCTTTGTTCATTTTTTTTAGGGTATTTATACTTGAACTAGCAATGAGATCAGGAGCTTTGAGTCTCATCTCAACATTTAATGGCTCACACTCTTATCTATGCATGATGAGTGTTCTCCCCTTAAATTCTCACGAGATTGATTTAATCAGGTGATCGGATGCTAGCTTGGGGCACGTTGAGCATTTATGCCCCTATTTCCGATCATGAAATACATCCGATCGGTGCTTGACACCTACGCCCGAGCGTTTACTGCTCGAGAATAAGCACATCGGGGTATGCCGAGGACATCTGGTCGACACAATAGCAATTAATGCTTTGTAATGATGATTGTCTTTGTTGGTCTCGAGGGCACAAAGGTTCATTAATAGCTCTGTCAGTCGCTCAAGTCGTAATTAATGAGCTGTCATGTCCTCTATAATGCTGGGCTCAACCAGTGCACACTCGGCTCTTTTGCGTCATAACTCCTCGGCTCCTTCTCCTGGCGCCTTTTGAGGTTCATAACAACTATAACTATCCACGTGTCAGCTCCTGACTGCTGAGCCGCTTAAAGTCCCGTCAACTTCACCCCAACCTCCATTTTTCTTGCGAGGTGGGACATGTGGCGCTTAGAGAGTGGAGGCTTCCTTAACACGCCATAGTTTTAGGGGCGGTTACTCGTATGTCTGGTGCCGCATTTTTCAAATTTCCACTTAATGATTTGCTTCTTCGATTCTCGCCCCCGCTTCAGAGTATATATAGGAGATTGCTTGGCTGTTTGCAGACTTTAGGTCCTCAATTTCTCAAGCTGCAATCAACTCCCGAGCAAATATCTTTACTCTCCCAAACGACTATCTTCACTCCCCCGAGCACCTTTTTCGAAGATCTTCCACTTGTAAGTACTTTTTTTCCCACAATCTCTTATTTATTTTCTCATTCTTCTTCTACATTTCTTCAAAACTCATCCATGGCCAGAATACGAAGAATTGTAGTGAGGAAACTTGTTAGGTTTAGTGACACCGGTAGGTTGAGAAAAACCCATGTGAGGAAGAGCAATCTACAAACTTTTAGGGCTAAGTACAACATTCCTGAGCTCTTTTTTACTTTTGTTTCGACTCTAGGTTCCATAAGTTTGACATAGGCAGTGTGGAACTCATGTCTTTTTACACCAAGACTATCATGGAAGGGGGAGTTAGGTTTCCTCTTCCTCCCCTCCTATTAAGGGTACTCATGCACTTGAGGTTCTTCCCCCCTTCAGTGTTGTATTAGCTTGTTCAGAGTAGTCATGGGCGTAGACGCCATAAATGCTCGGCTGGGGGTGAATCTGAGGGTGGATGAGATCTTGTTCTGCTACAACTTGAAATAGGCTCGGGACCGTTCCATATATTTTGTGACACATATGCCGGACTCGGACAAAGGGTATGCTCAAGATCTCATTATGCTTTGCGGCAGATGGGAGAAAGGTGATGGGCCCGAGTATGATGGCCTATACTGCCCCCAAAGTGTTGAGGGATCCAGGTGGGCATTGCACCAACTTTGCCACCTTTTGGCCTTTATTTTTGTTTCTGACTTCATTGTTGCTTTCTCTTTGTAGAAGGATACAAGACGGACGCCGCTCAGCCCTTGAAGTCAGAAGTAGCTTTCGAGGACTTGATCAAAGTTTGGTTCCACAACCCAGCTGATCCATTTGCTCGGGCGGGCCACGTATTGCTCGGCTATACCAGGTTTTCACAGATCCCGCCGCCGTTCAATTCTTCAATCTGGGAGGACAATTCTTCCGAGGAAGAGCAAGAGGGACTTGAAGTCGATCCAGATTGAGACTCCGAATCCACACCCCCTCTGGACAAGATGTTCAACTTTTCCTCCATCAGAGCGAATAGCCTGGAAGCTGCTTCCACAGCAAGGAGAGTGAGGTTCTCAGGAGCTAGCGAGCCGTCTGGCATTGTGTCGATCATTGTGTATTCGCCTCCACCACATCGACAACCACCACCACCACCGCAATGGAAACAACAACAACCCCAAGATATAGTAGTCCCTCCGAGGGACCAACACCTACGCCGGCGCCAAGGCATTCCCTCGGACCGGGTTAATGAGCGGCAGAGGGACCGCCGCAATCCGGAGTAGGGCTGTTAGTCGAACAAACTTGAGTCGAGTTCGAGCTCGAGCCGAGCTTGAAAAACTTGTTTCTTAATCGAGCTTTAAAAATTGTTCAAGTTTGGCTCGTTTAGTAGATGAGCCGAGCTTGAACGAGCCGAACCCAAGTTGAGTCCGAGCCGAGCCCGAGTATTTGCACATAAACGAGCCGAATTTATCGAGTTTGAGTCGAGCTTGTAGGACTTGTTTTCTAAACGAGCCTAAAAACTTGTTCAAATTTGGCCTCTTTTAGAAAACGAACCGAGCTTGAACGAGCCGAACTCAAGTCAAGCTTGAGTAGCTCAGTTTGATTAACAGCCTTAATCGGGAGCCCCAGCCCTCCACCAAGCGTCAAGTTAAACAGCGCCACAACACTCCGGCGCCTTCTACTCCCGCAGAGTGGACCTCTCGAGTTGTTATCAAGAGGGGCCACACTGTCTTGGAGTCCAGCTCCATAATTCACTCCCCCGACGTTGCCCTGGCCGTCAGTGGGAGTCTTCATTTTGAGGCCAACATGGCCGTGTTGCAGGATTACGGGGATAATCGACTCCTACAAGGGGTGATTCAACACAAGTTGGTGGTAAGTAAGCTGAATTCCTTTCTTGCATGGACTTCTTTTTGATCGCTTTGCCTTTTCTAACTTTTGTTCTTCTTTTTCAGGCCAGCCAGTAGATGGGGATCATCATTGACCAATTTTGGGAGTACAGGAGCAGGGTTAATCAGGCCTGGGCCAAACTGGCCCAAAATGATACCCATATTTTGCAAGTGGAGAGGACGTCGGCGATCAAACCAGGCACATTGTCGACCTGATCTGCAAGGCCGAGGCCCTCACTGCTGAGCTGGACAAAACCAAGTAGGCCGAGGCCGAGGCGACAAGTAGGATGGAGGAGGCCGAGCTAAAGGTCTCTTCCGTCGAGGCAAAGCTGCTTGAAGCTGAGTCAAATTGCGCTGCCTTAACTTCAAAAGTGGAAGCCCAGGAGGGAGAGAAGGTCGTGGAGTCTGAGAGACTATAGAAGGTGTGCACGGATGTGTACCTTCAGTGCCAAGATCAAATGGTCTCAGCCTTCGATGAAGCAAAGAAGAAGACATTCAAGCATGGTTGGGATGAGGCCCTTCATGCCACTGGGGTTACAGTTGGCTCAGATCTCTTCTCACAGCACAGTCTGCTTGGAGAGCTCGAAGTCAGGGATGTTCTAGAAGTATAGCCAAGCGTCGAGTCGACTCCAGAAGGACCAACCGAGGAAGTGGGGGAGATAGTGGCTGAAAATGTACCGATCACACTTAGTGACAGGTCTGAACAAGAATAGATGTTCCCCTTTTGGCTCCCTTCTCCATCTATGCCAAGCTATACTAGCAATCACCAAGTTTTCGGTACCCCCATCATTCATTTTGGGGGGGCCTGAGTTAGGGAACTTGATGAAATACTTGGCGTTGGTGAGGGCTCCCTCCGATGGGACCAGGCAAGGATTGGCGATAAAGAGCTCGGCGGAGACCTGGGCGAGCCAGGACCCCGAGGGCCCAAGAGACACTTAGCATTCTTTTTGCTCTTTCGTCAATTCTTTTCTTTGTATGCGTAGGGGACGCATAACCCATTTTTCTTGAATCAATGAAACTTTTATTTTCTTCAGTACGATCTTCCTTTACTTCGTAATTTTATTTCATTCTGTTGAACTATGCTGTTGATTCCCGAACCTCCAGGTTCATAAAATTTTGAAAGTGGATTAGTATTTGGGACTTGAACCACTCGAGGCCTTGCCCCTAGTGACCTAGCCCGAGGCTCATGCAAACGACCGAGTCTGAGACTTGTGTTAACTTTTCGAGGGCAGTGCTCCAAATGTAGATGTTTACCCTTCTCGGGGCTGTACCCTAACGACTGAGCCCGATGCTCGTGTTAGCTTTTCGAGGGCGGTGCTCCAAGGGTGAAGGCTTACCCCTCTCGGGGTCGTACCCCTAACGATCGAGTTTGAGGCTCTTGTTATCTTTTCAAGAGTGGTGCTCCAATGATGGAGGCTTACCCTTCTCAGGGTCGTACCCCTAACAACCGAGCCCTAGGCTCGTGTTTTCAAGATCCAACACTTGAGTTAATTTAGTAGTAATATTTTTTCAAATTTGATATATTTTGGGTTGGTTTACATCCTTTCCATCTATGTCTTGTAGTCGTGCCCCTGTACCCCCCATGGCAACAATTTTGTAAGAACCTTCCCAATTAGGGCTGAGCTTTCGGTCGGTGAGCTCCCGAGTATTGCTAGTGACCTTGCGTTGCACTAGATCCCCTACTTGAAAACTCCTCGTTTGGACTTTCTTTTGATGCTGCCTTGACTGTTCTCCTTGGTATTTTGCTGGCCTGATAGATATCAGTTCTTTTCTTTCTTCGGCTAAATCAAGATCCTTGGCTAGTGTCTAATCATTATTTCCTGACTTAAAGGCTTGACTTTGTATGGTTGGGAGCCCCACCTCCAAAGGAATGACAGCTTCGACTCCATACGTCATAGCGTAGGGCGTTTCGCCTGTAGAA